ATCATAGCACAACAACAGTGATCAGTTTAAAAAACGTTTTGCACCGTTTTGTAAGGGCTGAACGCAGCCCAGGTGTGCCGTTCAATATTTTTATGGAAACTGATTAATTTTATTTTAGAAGAACAGAAAGTTCAAAAGAGCAGCGTTTATTTGAAATATAAATATTTTGTAACATTATACATGTCTTTACTCTCACTTTTGATTAATTTAATGCGTCCTTGATGAATAAAAGTATTAATTTATTTTATTATTATTATTATTTTTAAATCAGCTGTCAACTTCCATTACAGCGCGAGAAAATGAACTCAGATTTGACGAACGCTTTAAAAAAAAAATAGACTAATGCTCAAAACAATATACAGACAAATGACAAATAAAAACGAGAAAATACAACAGAAGGGAAAAAAACTAAATAAATGGGAAGTATCAACACGTTTTGAGGTTTAAGTAATTACAAAGTTACACAGAAAACAAGGCAGCGCTGAGTTCTGCAGGACAAAACCAACACAATAAAATGCTGTTTAAACATAACTTCAGTCCTCATAATGTTTCCTTATGGAATAATCGTTGTATTTTATTTCAAAGAAAATCTTTATTTTTGGAGGACTGGTGGCAAAGAGGTATTTGGTCAGTGCTGCACATTATGGATAAGAATGGCTGCTTTGTTAGTTCTAATGATTTCTGCACTAAATTTAATTGTAAGCGTGAGGAAAAAGCTTATTTGAAAGTTACTAAAAGCATTCCTTTACCATTCCTTAATATGTTAAAGGGGATTTTAACATACTCCACTATCATTCCCAAGATTTTGCATCTTAAATCAAGCAAATTATATTTTGTAGATGAGAAGTGTACTAATAAGTTTATAAGAAATTGTCTTGTGTAGGAAAGCTATCCTGGTCCAATAAGAAGGAGCTATATTTGTCAACATCTAAATAGGAAATCAGTTAATGAATTTAGATGCAAATATTTGTTATTTCCTCTTCCACCAAAATATAAAGAAGTGCACTTTAAATTTTTGTACGATATTTATCCTGCTAAGGAATTTCTGAGATTAAGATTGAATGTGGATTGTAATATTTGTAACAATTCTGTAATAATGATGTAGAAACTGTTGAATACTTATTTTTCCATTGTTATCTGGTTAATTCGGTCTGGACTGAAGTATGTAATCGGATTAAACAAAGAATATCTATTTTTCCATCTATTACTTGGGACATGTTGAAATTTGGAGGTTCATTTTAAGAACTCCTCAAATACTTTATTCACAAATGTAAAGTTCTGAAAACAGCACCCCAGTTTAATGTCTTTAAAAAGGAGTATACAGAGGTCCTGAAAATTATGAGAAGTGATAAAGCCAAGAAATTATTTGATTTGTTTAATAAGTGTGATTTTGTTTAATCCCCTGCATTGTTTATGGTTGCATGAATATATTTTATTTTATTTGGATTAATGTCTTGTATGATGGTTTATTTCTCTGTTATAGTATGATTAATATGAATGTCTCAGTCTGTGAGGACTTACAGTTGTGTTTATGTTAGCCTATATTTTGTTCTGTTATGATGCTTGAAATGCAAAAAAAAAAAAAAAACGTAACAACGGAAAAAAACAAAAACAAACCAAAACAGTGACGAGAGCACGCACGCTCAGCTGACGCTTACAGATCATGTGACCGCTGGAGCAGGAAATACTCTCAGTTTAAACAGGAAACGACAAAAATCAGCTGTGTTTGGTGAGGGTCTGTCAGTTTCACTTTGTTCTGTCGTGAATGTTTGTTCCTTATTTATTTAGCTGAGCGTTTTTATTCCCTTAGGATCTATTCATATGGTATTTAGAGGTATATTTCAGTTTATTGGAGTTATTTTAGTGTGTGTCTTCTGCTGTGATGTTATTTCAGTCATTACTAACACTAACTGAACTGAATCAGTTTTGTGAAAAATAACAAATTATAGTTTGAATGCACAAAATGAGGCGAATAAATATGATTTTTGACTGCTGATGTATAAGACTTAATAATTTAAATGCTATATAATCATATTTCCTCATTACAGTAATGACAATTTTAGATGAGGGAGGTTGAAATTTCATGACATTTAATATTTTATTTGATATTAATTCATATTTTTCAGAAGAATTGGGTTCGAAAATGTCTAATGCACCCCTCAAAAAATAAGAAATTATTTTTTAAATGTAGAAAATGAAGCGTATTGTGAGAACAATTATGATTTTTGACAGCTGATGTTTCAGGTGAGGGTTGAAATGTCATGATATTTCATATTTTATTCGTATGGTATTTAGTATTTGCATTTTAGTGTTTGGCTTCTACTGTGATAAATGTATTAGAGTCATAACTAACACGAACTCAACTGATTGCAGGTGGATTTATACAGTCCTCCATCAAAACATAACACACTGCAACTGATGGAAAGCAGGTAAAGAGTGTTTCTGAGCAGTTAGTAATTCAGTAAATTATTCTGCCCTTGTGTAAGTGGTTTGAATCACATGCATGCGTCTCAAACAGCTTCGCTCAGCACTTCATCTTCAGATGTTGTGCTTCAGCTCAGTCAATGATTACACAGTCTGTCACGTGACGCTCATGAGACTCTGTTGTGATCAGATGAAGAGATGATGATGATGATGGCGGCGCTGCTGTGTTTCTGTGCTCTGATCTCTGCTGTTTGCTGTGCGCCGCTCATAGAAACTCAACCTGAACAGGTGCATGTCTCGTATCCAGGTGAGATTTCACTCTTCATGATTGACAGCTGTCAATCAAAACAAAGACAGACAGGTTTCCATGGAAACCCTGCAGTTATTGTGTGATTTCTTGGAGTTGTAGTCTTCATACCGATCATTTTTTGGCTCTCGTGAGTGTAATTATGTTATATGACAGCAGAGTCATTTAATATTTTATTTTAAATCAGTTGATATTTTTCAGCAGAAACTGAAAATGCTAAATGCACATTTTATACCTCAAAAAATAGGAAAAATTAATTTTGAATGCAGAAAGTGAGGCATTTTTTATGAGGTTTAAAGACTATTTATTTAAATAATATACAATAATTTTTCCTAGTCACATTTTCAGGCGAGGGAGGGTTGAAATGCCGTGATATTTAATATTTTATTTGATATTAGTTGATGTTTTTCAGCATAACGTTGTTTGAAAATCTCAATAAATCTATTCTTTTATTTAATTTTAGTTTGAAAATGTCATTAAAAAAAATTAACTTTTTTTTTTTTTTTTGAGAAGAGTTATGATTTTTGACAGCTGATGTTTAAAGACTTCATGATTTAAATGATATATAATAATTTTTCCTAGTCACAATTTCAGGTGAGGGAGGGTTGAAATGCCATGATATTTAATATTTTATTTGATATTAGTTGATGTTTTTCAGCATAATGTTGTTTGAAAATGTCAATAAATCTATTATTTCATTTAATTTAATTTTATATTTTTCAGCCGATATTTGAAAATGTCATTCCAAAAAAAAATTAAGATTTTTTTTTTTTGAGAACAGTTATGATTTTTGACAGCTGATGTTCAAAGACTTCACGATTTAAATAATATATAGTAATTTTTCCTCATTACAGTGATGCCGGTTTCAGACGAGGGAGTGTTGAAATGTGTTGGAAATGATATTTCATTGTTTCTGTGTTTGTACTTTGCTCAGTGACAGTAAAGAGGGTCATGTGACCCGAGCAGCTGTTTATAACGGAACGTCTTTCCTCAGGTGTGAAGAACTCGATGTTGGTCACATGGTCCACCGCTAATAAAACCGAGAGCGTTGTTGAGTACGGTCTGTGGGGCGGGAAGCTCTTCAGTCACACGGCGGAGGGAGACGCAAGCGTGTTTATCGACGGAGGGCCGGAGAACAGAACGATGTACGTCCACCGAGTCACGCTGACCGATCTGACCCCAGCGGCTTCATACGGTAACCTTCACACAGACATCATGCAGTGTGTGTGACCTGGACGATAGAGATGTTAATAGATGCGTGTGTGTTTCAGTGTATCACTGCGGCAGCGACGCCGGATGGAGCGACATCTTCTACTTCACGTCTCTGAATGAAAGCGTGAGCTTCAGCCCCAGATTCGCTCTGTTTGGTGACATGGGCAACGAAAACCCTCAGTCTCTGAGTCGACTGCAGAAAGAGACGCAGATGGGGATGTACGACGTCATTCTGCACATCGGTGAGACCGCAAACGAATAGCTCAGCCAAAATGAAAAAGCATTGGAAATGTGCTCACTCTGAGGCCATCCCAGATCAGGATGAGTTTGTGTCTTCATCAGGTTTGGAGAAATGCAGCATTGCGTCAGTGTCTCACTGCAAGTGAATGGGTGCCGTCAGAATGAGAGTCCAAACAGCTGATAAAAACATCCCACTAATCCACACCACTCCAGTCCATCAGTTAACATCTGGAGAAGACAAAAGCTGAAACAAATCCAGCATTAAGACATTTTTAACTCAAATACCATAGAGTCCATAATCCATAATAACGCTTCCTCCAGTGAAAAAGTGTTCTGGTCTGAATCAGGAGAGAAATCTGCACACCGTTTACAAGCCAAAACTTTAAATTTTTTGTCTTCTCCAGATGTTAACTGATGGACTGGAGTGCTGTGGATTACTTGTGGATTATTGTGATCAGCTGTTTGGACTCTCATTCTGACGGTACCCATTCACTTGGAGTGAGACACTGATGCAATGCTACATTTCTCCAAATCTGATGAAGAAACAAACTCATCCTGATCTGGGATGAGCACATTTTCAGTGCTTTTTCATTTTGGTGAAACGTTCCTTTAACTGAGTAAGAGCAGATTAGTTTGTCGTCCCAGTGACGGTAGTTTAGTTCTAGTTTTGTGTCGGAGTTATGCTTGTGCGTGTGCTTTACAGCATGTGATTGTCTTCACAGGAGATTTCGCGTATGACATGCATGAGGTAAGAAACACAACTGGCCATGTAGTGCCACATCAGTTTTGTTAGTATTTTGAATTCATTTTATTTTTAGATTTTCTGCTTTCATGTTAATTTGAACGACTCGAGGGAAGTAAATGAAGATAGAATGATTATTTTCGAGTGGACAGTTTTTACTGCTGTGTTTTTAAGGCGTCTATATTTAGCACAAGACTACAGAAATCAGTCAAATCAAGTCATGATCAAAATATGTAAGTGATGATCCACATCATTTTAACACGAATCTCTAATGTTGCCCGTAATATCATAATCGGTGACAAAAACCACAAATACAGCTGTCAAACTTTAGTGGAAGCACAGTGCATCTGAAAACTCATTAGAGCAACGACCACAAAATTCTCCAAATCACTATAATTATGTAAGAGTCTGGAAAATAGACAGATCTGATTGAAGTTTGTCATGACTTTTTAGTTTTAAAAGAGTGTGTGTTTGAAATATTATATCATAATGTGATTATGAGCTGAACTGCTGAACACAGATCATCTGTTTTTAATCACAGTCTTGATTCTGAAGATGTTTTATGTCTCAGTGTTATTTTAGTATCATTGAGATACTGTTATAATTTTCTGTTTTCATTAAAATTTTAATTAAAGTTTTATTAATTTTGTTTTTTTTTTATTATGTCATTTTTAATAGTTTGCGTGTTTTTTTAATGTCTATATAGTTTTTATTAATTTTTATTTCAGGTTTAGTTTTAGGTAAACTAAATTAAAAAGAGAAATCTTTGACAACAAGCTTAAATAAAATAAATTAGAATAGTTTATTTAATTTCAGTTAACATTTATTTTAAGTAAAAAAAACATGTTTTTATGGTTTTAGTTTTAGTTAACTATAATAACCTAAATAGTTTTTAATTAACACAATTTTATATTTTCTGTTTTCATTTTAATTTTAATTAATGTTTTAGTAATTTTGTTCTTTGTTTTGTCATTTTTATTAGTATTATTATTTTATTGCATTACTTATTTTATTTCAGATAATTGCCAAGGCAACATTTCTCACTTTCATTTAGTTTAACTTGATGCATTAAAATAACTTAAACTGCAATAAAAATTATTAAAAACTATATAGACATATTAAAAGAAACAGAACATAAAAAATGACTAAAATACACACCAAAATTGCTAAAACTTTAATAAAAATTAAAATGAAAATGGAAAATATAAAAATAAAAACGACTTCAAACTATTAATAAAAATTATAATAGTATCTCAATGATACTGAAATAACCCTGGTGTGTGTGTGCGTGCGTGCGTGTGTGTGTGTGTGTGTGTGTCTGTGTGTGTCTG